CATGGTGCTTTCGAGTCAGCCCTGTGAGCAGAGGCCTACTGAGGCCATTCCAGAAGGTGGGAATGGCACTGGGACAGAAAACCTCAGCTCTCACCTCCATGTTCCCATTCCAACCAGCAGATCTTCACACTTGTGTTGGGACAGCCAGGGAACAGCAACCTAGGTCTGTCCTGGTGCTCTGAGCCCCTTGGACAGCTCAGAGGAGGTTGCAAAGCTCAACCCCATCTTTTCAGCCTGGCTGGCCCCTGCCACACATGCACCCTGTGGTAACAGTGGTGTGGTGAGGAAGAGGAGGAAAAAACCTCCCCTAAAAGGCCACAGATTGCAAAGCAGGGCCCTCCCAAACACTCTGTGCTCACCAGGCCCAGCTCTGCCTTCGGGAAGGAAAGTATTTTCCTGGGAATTAATTCTGCACTAGGAAAGGAGGCCTCAGAAGGTCCACAGGGCTACTAGGAGGGGACACAAGGAACCTTCAGCAGCCACCCCACACGGGCTCCCTGCAAAACACAAGGCACCAGGAATGACAGTGACGCCTCTGTGAGCACGTCCCTACTTGCTCCCACAGCAGCTTCTGTGTTTCAACACACAGCTGGGGCCCTGCAAGTCCCTGGTCCCCTCTGCAGAAGCTCTGAGCAGCTGGAGAAACCCAGCAATGTGGATTTTTGCCCTAAAAGAAGCCTTAAATACAATTGTTCAAATGGAAAAAAATCCTGGCTTTAACAGAGTTAAAATTTCACAGAGTTGATTGTTGGCCTTAAAGCTGCTGCTCAGTGTTGCACAGAATGTCACAGAATATTCTGAGCTGGAGTTCTCCCAGCTGCACCTGTAGGCAAGCAGGCTGGGAGAGCCAGGAGTAGCTCCTACTCCCAAAATACACAAAACTTGGGACCTGCCCAAGTCCCATTTTCCATCCCAGATCCACTCCTTTCATGCTGTACAACTCCCTTCTAGACAAATAGCAGAGGGGACGTGCCTGGGCCAGTGGAGGCTTCCAGGGAAAGCCAAATTCCCCTCTTGTGGCTGTGCCGAATGTGATTTTCTGGCTGCTTCCAGCAGGAGCCACGGCAGCTGCCCAGCAGATGGCAACAGTCCTGCACTGCATCCGCAGGATTTGCGGCTGCCCTGTCCTGCAGAGCTCAGACAGAGCCTTCCTCTGACCCTGCTGGCCCAAAACACGAGTTCCCAGGGCCAAAAATCCCTCTTTGGGGTATTTATGGTGCTCCCAGGCAGCATTTACAGAGCACTGACTGCGCCTCTCATCCAGCCCACCTAAAGTTATACACCTCCATGCCCATCCCAGCCCAATCTCAGGATTTTCATGCTTCATTTTCCTTTTTCTAGAGTCATCCTTCCCGCTCTGCACTGCCCCAGGAGCAGAGCAGAGGGACAGAGCCCTCACCCTAGGGCAGGGCACAGAGGGTGCCAGGCTGTGGTGCAGGGCTGATGGTTGAGCTTGGGGGTCTTTTCCAGCCTTAATGTTCCCATGATCCCAACAAAACTAACTCCTAATTCCCTTCCATGTTCCCCAGAGCATTCCAAACGAGTCCTGTGCCTCAGCACTGAGTCATGAGCACCACAGGAGCTCTCAAGGGAGGCAAGGAGAACTCCCACCTTCCAGGCAGTCAGCAGCCAAGCTTTGCCAGCCCAGCCTGGGGGAAAACAGGACTCAGGTGTCCAGATGGAAAACCTCCAAGCTCCCTTCAACGTGACTTTGACAAAGCAGGAAGGCTGCCATTAGTTTTTGGTGGTTTCTCACCCAGCAACCACCACGCTTCCACCTGAGGTGATCCCAGCCAGGTGATGCTCTCCCTGCTCCCAGCTGGGTGCCCAGGGATGAGGTTCCTCTTGAATGTGTCACAGAAGAGCTGCAGGGATTGGGATGAGCCCCCTGCAAGCCCAGCTGGAGGCATGAGAAGCCACGTGGCTGAAGGAGCTGCTGTCCCAGTGGAGCCACAGGAGCAGAAATCCTCTTTGGAAGCACCTTTACAGACAGCCCTGTCTGCTGGACACTCCTGGAATGGTGCAACAGGAGCCAGGAGCTCCATGGCACATCCAGAGCCCACCAGTGGCTGAACTGGGGCAGTGTCCAACATTACAAATTCCTGAGTTCACACCTTGTCCCCTTCAAAAGCCTTCTCCTGGAGGAAGCAGGTGTTGGTGGTTCTCTCTGGAGGGCAAATGCTGGGGAGAAGTCCCCAGCTTTGGGCTCTCAGGGTTTTCCATGGATGCTGAGCTCTCCTGGTGACAGCCACCAGGAGAGGACCATGAGTCATCAAGCAGAGCAACCTTATGAACAAAGAGAAGACATTTTCCTGGAGACTGCTCAAAGCACTTGTTTATACTTGTTTGAACAAACACTGAGGAGAAAAGCTCCTGTCAGATGCCAGCACTAGGAAGAGCTGAGCACTCCAGCCACTGGGATTTTGGGCTGTTTAAGAGGGGGACCACAGCCACTGCTCCACTCAATAACCACAACTGCTTCCAGGACTTCTGCAAATGCAGCAACTCCTTCAGCTCTGATGTGACAGGGGAGGAGAAATCCCAGCTGTGCCACTTCCCCCCGTGGCCCTGCCACAGCCAGAGGGGCTCACACAGTGCCTGAGGTGTCCCAGCTGTGTTTTGGGGTGTGTTTAGCTGTGTGTCCTGGTGCAGCATCATCCCAGATCATCTGGATACCCCAGAGCCCAAACTGCTGCTTGGTGCAGTGAGAAGTTTACTCTGAGGAAAGGTGATGGTTTCACTTTTAAAGGTGATTTTTCTCCCCCCCTAATCTCTTCTGGAGAACCCGAGCAAGATGGACTATAGGTGTTGGGAAGAGCTGTTTATTCTGTTCTCTGCCTTGCTGATACCCTAAGGAAGGTGGGTCTGCTGGAGGCCCCTCCAGGCCTTTCCCCAGAGCTCCCGTGAGGAACACACCTTTGCTGCTCCCAGCAGGATAATTTGTACCACGGCTTCTCCCTCCCTGGGCCAGCTCCAGCTTTCCAAGGCACAGCACTCCAGGACATGTGGGATAAAAGGCACGTTGGGAGCTCACGGCTCAGCCAGAAGAGAACAAAACCCCCCTCGCCCCAAGACTCCAGTTTATTTTTACACTCCCAAGGCTGAGTGGTATTTCTTGAGCATGTTCTCATTTGCTGAACCTCTATGAAATCCTGGCAGGCTGGAAATTATTTCGAATCATGTATCCAAGACAACAAGGATAATTCTTCCCCAGCATGTTAAACGTAGAGCTGTCCCTTAGATGACTACACTGAATTCAGTATAAAAATCCACTCAGATCTTTTGGAAAAGGAGATTTCAGGACTCATCACCTTTTTCCTTTGGGTCACCTTGTCTTTACAAGGAAAGGCTGGCCCAGCAGCAGAAGTATTTCATCCCAGTGGGGCACACACCTGCCTTGCTGGTATTGCTGCCCAGAATAGCTCCCAGCACTGACAGGGCTCATCTATGTTAAATTAGCCCTTGGAAAACATCCCTGCTCGGAATCTCAGGCAAAATGGTCCCTTGACACAGGTCTGAGGAGCACAAAGTGAAAGCCTTTTCCTGTCACAGCCTCCACACTGCTCAGACCACTGTTAAAATGTACACTTGTGACCCTGCATCACCTAAAAAACATGGAAATCCATCTCCCTCCCTGCTCTCCTGTCCCACTTCTCCTCAGCTGTTCCTGGGGCTTTGAACTACCTTTCAAAAAGGAAAAATAAACCAATATTCTCTTGCCTGGAGAAGCTGTGGCTGCCCCTGGATCCCTGGAAGTGCCCGAGGCCAGGCTGGATGGGGCTTGGAGTGATGTGGCATAGTGGAAGGTGTCCCTGCCCATGGCAGGGGGTGGCACTGGGTGAGTTTAAAGGTCCCTTCAATCCAAATCATTCCATGATTTTAGGACCAGCTGCCTAACACCCAGGCTATCATTAACCTTTCATCAAGAAATCACAAGTCCAAAATTATGGACTATAATCACAAGTCCAAAATTACTACAGACTATACCAAGCAAAACTACACACAAATATAAATAAATAAATTTGTATGCAGATACAAAGCAGGTCGGGAGTCTCATTGCCAGCAACAAGTAGAGTGATAAAAATCACAAAGAATCAAAATATCCTGAGTGGAAAGGGATCCACAAGGATCAGAACCCAACCCTGGTCCTGCACACCACAACTCCAAAAATATCCAGGCTACCACGACACAGGTGTCACACCCCTGAAGTGTAAGTTTGGAAAAGAAAAAGCAGAGGGGAGTGATTCAGTTCCCACGTGGGACCCAGCCATCCCTTTACTCCCAAGGCTCCTGCAGCACCTCCTGCTCCAGGCTGGAAGGCACAGAACAGGAATGGGTAAAGCCTTCCAAGCCAAGCCCAAAACCCCCAGGCACAGACAGGAGGTCTGTCCTTTCCAGCTGGGAACAGCAGGATCACTGCTGCAATGTGCCCCTGTGGTAAGGAATGCAGGAGGAAACCAAGGCATGGAGGCTTTAACTAGAGGAAAACAACCCAAAGCAGCGAAACAGCCTTCATCAAGCCTAAGAATAGAGAGAAAATGTCGATTTTTGTCCTCTGCTCTGCCTTTTATTGGCCAAACAGCACCAAATGTCAACGTCCCACTGCTCTGCTGTGCCTCTCAGGTAGGCTCCTGGCTCGTACATCTCAAAACCAAGCTCAGGTTTTCCAGGCTCAGAAACTCCATCAGGAACACAAACCCAAGAGCACCAGGTCTCCTTCCCATGTCACCATGTTTCACCACAGAAGGGGCTCCCTTTCTACCCAGGGCACCGTGCTCTGCTCTTTCCATTTTATCAACACCAATTTTAACTTAAACAGCACCAAATGCTTGGTGCAGGTTCTCTGGGCCTGTCACCCACAGACTGAATTTGTCCTTACATGTTAAGCATCCCTGAGCCCTGTCACAGCAAACTCCTCTCTCCCCAGGTAGAGCCTCCATGCCCAAATCCCACTCCACGTGCAGCCAACATTTATGGGAACGAACAGAGCTCATACTTGCCTCAAACGTGACGAAGTCATCAAACTCATCGGGGCAGGCCGGGGCTTCCTCCTCGGGGGTATATCCCATATCATACAGCTGGCTGTCAGGGTCTGCACGGGGAAAAAAACACACAGCTGCAATCACCCAGAGGGAAACCTGCACCCTCACGCCCGGGGTGGGTTTTTGGGAGACGTGGCAGCGGTGGGACAGAACTTGCAGCCCTCAGGAAGGGCTGCACCAGGGCTGAGGGCATGGCAGGGCTTCCACAAACCTTCTGAGGAGGCTCCTTGCTGCTCCAACGGGGCCAGCTCCTGGATTCACCCCTACCCCTCCACTCCCTTCCCCATCTCCGCTCCCTGCATCCTTTAACTCCTCTCGCAGAAGGCTTTAATCCCGCTGTGGGCAGGGAGCGCCTGGGATGTGTGTGTGACAGCCAAGTGCCATGGGAACGGCGGGGAAGGCAGGCTGCAGCTCCGCTCCTCCTGCAGCCACACGCATGGGAGCATCCGCAGGGAAACGGAGCTTTGCAGCGAGGGAGCCTCAAAATGAATTCCTGCTCCAGCCCTTCCAGCCAGGAAGGCGGCGAGAATTCCCCGTGCTCCCCGAAGCCCAATCCCAGATCCCAGGCTGGAGGAGCCGGATCGGGAGCGCTGCTGCAGTCCCAAAATAAACAGCAGGAGCAGGCTGGAGCCCACACGCCTCCGAGCTGCCATGGCTGCGCCACCGGGCCTGGCTGCTCCGGGGAACCGGGCCGTGCTCCCAGGGAATGGGATGTGGGGAGGGACAGGGGTCACTTTCTGTGCCCTCAGAGCCCATCCCAGGCCCCCCAAAGGGGCACACAGGTTGTCCTGCTGTGGTTGCCCTGATGGGACAGTGCCAGCCTCATCCAGAGGCACAGGCAGAGTTCCCGCTCTGGGACCTTCTCCAGGTATCAAGAAAGGCCATTTTTCATTAAGGAATCGCACTCTGGTCACTTCATACATCTGGTAAAAGGTCAAGGGTTTAGGGGTTGCTCAAGGCACTGGGGGTGCTCAACCTGGAGAAGAGAAGGATCCAGAGACACCTTCCAGTGCCTAAAGGGGCTCCAGGAGAGCTGGAGAGGGACTGGGGACAAGGCATGGAGGGACAGGACACAGGGAATGGCTCCCACTGCCAGAGGGCAGGGATGGATGGGATATTGGGAAGGAATTGTTCCCTGGCAGGGTGGGCAGCCCTGGCACAGGGTGCCCAGAGCAGCTGTGGCTGCCCCTGGATCCCTGGCAGTGCCCAAGGCCAGGTTGGATGGGGCTTGGAGCAGCCTGGGACAGTGGGAGGTGTCCCTGGACATGGAATGAAATGAATTTTACAGTCTCTTCCAATCCAAAGCATTGTGAGAATCTCTGATTAGGGCACAGGCCTGCAGCAACACCTCCCACCTAAACACCATGCCCAGGGCCTCTCACTGACCATTAAATGCACACACAGGTGGGCACCCAGGAGATGCTGCACCACCAGGAGATACTGCACCCAGCAACCTGAGGAGTTCCCTGCGGTGGGAGAAGCTGAACACATGGCACCAAGAAATGATCCCTGCCCTCACCTGGGCCTGGCTCCCAGGGTCAGGCTGTGAATTCACTCCAGGAATGACCCAAATTGCTTTTCCAGTGCCATACCCAACACTGTGCTCTACAGGCTCAGGGCTGTAGGAAGGGAAAGGTGCCCTTGATCACAGCTTAGGCCCTCAGTGTCCCACTGCTGTCCCACTGTGGCAGCAGCAGTGGTGCTGCTCCGAGCAGGGCCCTGGGATGCAGCTGGAAGTGCTGCTGCTGCCTGCACCCTGCTCAGGGCAGGGCCACCTCCTGCTCTGACTGCTGGGGTAGCACAGGAGGGTCTTGGACTTGATCACCTTGCAGGTCTTTCCCAGCCTTAATGATTCTACAGTCTGAAGATGGCATTGTGCCTCTCCTCAGTGTCCCTCTGTCCCCATTTGCACAGCTCCCCTCATGAACGTGAGCCTACAGTCAGGAGTTTTCCCATTATTTATCCCTGGTGATTTGAGCCTGGTGGCTGGCAGCAGGGAGGGGATGGGGACAGTGACCTGCTCACCTCAGTGGGTGCCACCAAGAGGAGCCTTTGCCCACATCTGGGGCAAAACTAAAACCAAACAGTGCTCCTGGAAGGCAACTTGTGTCACAGCACCTCTCCTGCCCACCAGCACACACAGGCAGTGGTCAGCTCCAGGCATCCCCACAGACCCTGCTGCACCCCACAGCAGCCCCTGGAACCCCATCCCAAAGGCACAGGCTGCTCCCTTCTCCTTATTCCCTCATAATTTCTTTTCCTCCCCCTCCAAGTAGACATACAAACACTTCCTACTCTTCTACAGACACAGATAAGGATATTTATTCTCCTCATTCCTTCCAGAGGGGCTGGAAAAGGGAGGATTTGCAGGCAAGTGAAGGCTTCCCTTTGGAATCAGGGGTATGAAGCGTGGGCAGAGCACAGGCACAGGCAGCTCCTCCCATCCATCACCTGCTCCTGCCCAAGCCAGGGGTTCTGCAGCCTTCCCAGCCCTTCAGGGAATGAACATGCTGGGCATCAATGGGATCCTTGTTGCTCCATCTGTGTGCAGAGAGCCCAGCCCAAACAGGGTGTCTCTGTGCACCACGGGTTTATTTTCACAGCAAATTCCAGTGTAAAAATTCAGGAAAGGCCACCTGAGAGGTCACCTGCACACTCGTGGTGGCATGGCCAGAACAAGCCATGCCCAGCAGCCAGCACTCCATGTTTCCACCTCCCCACACGTCACAGAGAGCAAAGACAAACAGCACCACAAACAAAGGTTGATTTTTCTGCTGGATTCATTCCCTCCCCCTCCAAAAAAAGCCATATGGTGCTTTGTGTATAGGGAGAGTTGCCATGGAGAGCCTGCAAATCTGCCAGCACAATAGCCTGCATTAAGCTTGCAAATTCCTGCCCAAAAGAGCCAAAAATACCTGGGAGCCAAAAAATTGGAGGCCTTCGTGTGGAGTGGCACTTCCCATGTGGACATCACTGTCCCCAGGTGCAGAGGGAACCACTGGTGACAGCTGGAGGGGTTTGCTCCCCCACACCAGGAGCAGAGCCAGGGATGGCTGTGGGCCACCAGCAGCAGCACTCAGTAGCCCCAGCCTGTGGCACAGGCTGAGCTCACACTCTCATGTTCCTCTGCTCTCCACCCTGGACATCAAAGTCAAGTCCCAGCTGGCCCCTGCTCTGCTTCACATGCCGTTCTCCCTGCCCCTCACAGCACAAAGAGCCTTTCCTTGCTCACACCCATCCCTGATTTTCCTTATCCTTCCCCAGTGAGAGTTGATGTGGTCACAACACCTGGGGTCACCTCTGCCCTACTCTGCTCAAACCCAAACGTTTACCCAGGACTGGGGGTGGCATCAGGGACTGCCTTTTGTCCTCTGAGTGTCCATGACCAGCTTCTCCTGCACCTTCAGCTCTATCCATCACTCCCATTGCCAGGCCAGTCACATTTATAAACATCCAAAAACCCTGAAGGCAAAAATCAGGTTCTGAGAGACCTTCCAGGCAGTTTTACTGCTAAACCACCACAGAATCATGGAATCATTCAGGCTGGAAAAGCCCTCTAAGGTCATCAAGTCCAACTGCTCTCCCAGCACTGCCAAGGCCACCACTAACCCATGTCCCCAAGTGCCACATCACACAGCTTTTAAATCCCCCCAGGGATGGGGACTCCACCACTGCCCTGGGCAGCAGCTGTGCCTGTGCCTGAAGGAATTTTCCCAATATCCACCCTAAACCTCCCCTGGCACAATTTGAGGCCGTTTCCTATTGTCCTGTCACTGAAAACCACCATTTAAAAGCCTTGTGGATGTGGCACTTGAGGACATGGGTCACTGGTGGCCTTGGCAGGGCTGGAGGAATGGTTGGTCTCAATCATCTCAGAGGGCTTTCCCAACCTGAATAATTCCATGGGCTCTCCGTGGGGGTAGATGAGACCTCTTCCCACATCTTGCTGAGCTTCAGAGCTCTCAGATCTGCCAGAGTCACCTGGGCTCTCCCAGGAACCCTCAGGAACAGCAGTTCTGGGATAAGGCTCCTGAAATAGATTCTAAAAACTGCTTCCAGAAGGCAGGATCACAGTGAAAAGGCACCTTGAGTGAAGGGCTGTGGGTACAGCAGTGACACATGGGTCACACAGAGCCAGTTTTATCAGCTTCATATAGGAGTGACCTAGAAAAAGAGCCTTTCAGGAGCATTTAAGTCATCTACCAACACACTGTACACACTGCTGCAAGCCACAGAGCCCCCAACTCCGAGTGATCCCAACAGGATGGATTCTGTGAGCTCACAGACCTGCACTGTTCAGTGGGGGAGCAAGGCCTGGAACCTGCCTGAACGGCACAGAATAAAACAGCCACAGAAAGGAGCAGGACGAAGTTCTGGTTGGCTTAAGGAAGAAAAATTGATATAAATCCAGCTCCCTTACTGGGAATGCTGCTGGAAAACAAGAGACACACAGCCAAGGATTTAAAATTTGCAAGAATTCAGGAAGATGCTGCAGAGGGGAAGCCACTATCCAGCATTTGAAGAGGAGGCTCAGAGATGACTTTATTGCTCTGTACAGCTCCTGAAGGGAGGTGCAGACAGGTGGGGTTGGTCTCTTCCACCAGGCAGCACTGACAGAACCAGAGGACAGTCTCAGCTACGTCAGGGAAGGTTTAGGTTGGGTATTAGGAAAAAAAATTTCACCAAAAGAATAATAAAGTACTGGAATTGTCTTCCCAGGGAGGTGGTGGAATCACCATCTCTGGATGTGTTTAAAAATGACTGGACATGGCACTTGGTGCTATAGTCCAGTTGAGGTGTTAGGGCACAGGTTGGACTTGATCATCTCAGAGGTCTCTTCCAACCTCATTATTCTGTGATTCTGATTTCCAGAGGCAGCTCAGGGTCTGGTGTGATCCCTGTGGGATAAAGCCAGCACCAATCCCACCCACCCACCTTTTTCTTGCCCAGCATGGCCCAGGAGTACATTTATAATCTGCTGCTCCCATCAAAGAGCAGCTTTCTGCTCCATGCTTCCCCTGGAGCTCAGCTTCCCCCGGAGATGGGCCAA